TGCCTTGGCATCACAGCTCACAGCAACCTCCAACTCTTAGGCTTAAGTGATTCTCTTGCCTCAGCCTCCCAAGTAGCTGAGACTGCAGGCGCCAACCACAGTGCCTGGCTATTTTTTTGTTGTAGTTGTCACTGTTGTTTGGCAGGCCTGGGTTGGATTCGAACCCTCCAGCTCCAGTGTATGTGGCTGGCACCCTAAGTGCTGAGCTACAGGCACCGAGCCATATTTTTGTTACTTTTTGGATGCACCTTACTTTTGGTCTTGTTCACTATTGCCCAACTTCATCATCCATTTTTGTCAGAGTTGGTTCTGGCTATCATTTTAAGTTATTAAACATTAAGCCCACTTAATGTGATGGGATTCCAAAAGTCATTTCAGTAATATCAGTTTGCAGTTCTTAATAATGTTAAAGGTTACAGATTTGCCTTTTTTGAAAAGGCTGTGTCATAGGCTCTGAAGGCAGTTCCCTCGGGAGTTCCATTAATACTTTCTTGGAAGAAGTTCATGGTCTCTGAACACTGCATGTTCAGCACTCATTTCAGTACATGTAATGGAAATAAGAATGTGAACATAGGGGACTCTCATTTTGTGCCAAGCACCATGCTGGAGGGATTTACACATACTCATTTAGCCATTACAAACAATAAATGAAATTATCCTCTTTAACGGCAAGGAAACAGGCACAGAGATGTGGAGTACCTTTTCCCAGGTTACGCAGCTAGAAAGTATCAGGACTTAAATCCAGGCAGCATGATTTCAGAGCCTCTGCGCTAACCAAGGCCCTCCACCCTCTCTCCATGTGTTTGATGCTTTAAAGAAAAGTCTCATTACTTTAGAGTTGCACTTAATCTGAGAGAGTTCCTGAGGGCCTTCCTGGGTCTTCTCTGACTGAGGCTAGCGATTCAGTCTGGTTTTCTCTCCCCATACAGTGGCCAACACCTACACTGTTTCTTGTATTTTCTTTTTCCTGGGACTACTTCCATTCTTCCTTGCTTGTTCTGAAATCCACCGCAGAGGCCTTTGTCAGTGTTCTGCTGTGATTTGTATAGCAAAGTAGGTGGAAGTCAGGCTGAGGATGGAGTATAAGGCATAATAACCAAGTTGCAGGCGGTGCCTGTAGCTCAGCAGCTAGGGCGCCAGCCATATACATAGAGGCTGGTGGGTTCAAACCCAGCCAGGGTCTGCCAAATAATGACAACTACAAAAGTTAAAAAAAAAAAAAAAAAAAAGCTGGGAGTTGTGGCAGGCGCCTATAGTCCCAGCTACTACTTGGGAGGCTGAGTCAAGAGAATTGCTTAAGCCCAAGAGTTCGAGGTTGCTGTGAGCTGTAACATCATGACACTATACTGAGGGTGACACAGTGTGACTCTGTCTCAAAAGAAAAAACAAAAAACAAAAACAAACAAAAGCAGTGCCTGTGACTCAAAGTAGGGCACCAGCCCGAATATTGGAGGTGGTAGGTTCAAAAACAAACAAACAAAAAAATCCCCACCAAGTTGCAGAGGTTCAAAGAAGCTTCACACATTAGTTAGTCAATAGAAACACATGGGCAAATGAAACCTGTTTTTTTGGGGGGGTGGGAGGTCGAGTCTCACTATGTTGCCCTTGGTAGAGTGTCATTGTATCACAGCTCACAGCAACCTCTAACTCTTGGGCTTAAGCGATTCTCTTGCCTCAGCCTCCCAAGTTGCTGGGACTATAGGTGCCTGACACAATGCCTAGCTATTTTTGTGTCACAGTTGTCATTGTTGTTTAGCTGACCCAGGCTGGGTTCGAACCCACCTGCCTTGGTGTTTGTGGCTGGCACTGTAACCACTGTTCTACAGGCGCCGAGCCCTGTTTTTTTTTTTTTTTTTCTTTAATAAACTCTTGTTTAGAATATGATACATACAGTCCCTATCCTCAGAGAGAAAGTTAGCTATTTTTTTTTCTTCTCATGATCCCCTAGCTCAGTGGTTCTCAACCTTCCTAATGCTGTGACCCTTTAATACAGTTCCTCATGTCGTGGTGACCCCCAACCATAAAATTATTTTCTTTGCTACTTCATAACTATAGTTATAATCATAACTATAATTTTGTTACTGTTATGAATTGTAATGTAAATATCTGGTATGCAGGATGTATTTTCATTGTTACAAAGGGGTCGCAACTCATAGATTGAGAACCACTGCCCTAGCTCTTTCTCCACTTCTTTCCTTGGGAATCACCTCGAATCTCATTTTCTGGGTTGGACACTGGTTTCTGCTACTCTGGTTAGGCTGAAGGTAGATGTGCTTGCGGCTGGGTGTGGTGAGGCCCCAGGTGAGGGAGTCCTTCTCACTGCTCCAGAGCTTCCTCTCCTGAGAATCCAGCTGCCTGCACCGGTAGGCCTGGTAGGCAGTTGGTCTCACCCCTCGGCCCCTGGAGGAATAGTGTTTGTAAGCACAGGACTTGTTTTACCTCCTCACAGCCAAGTCCAGCCTCCCCATCCTGTGTTCTGAGTTCATGTCCAAGCCTGCCAAACTCTTCCTTCTGAGATTCACTTGAGAGCAGCAGTCTGTCTTTCTCTTATTTTGGCCGGAGTAGGGCTCAGAGTCCATAGTTCCCTTAGGGCACTGGTGATTGCCTGAGCTTACAGACAGTTTGCTTCATAAATCCCCTTCCCTTCACCTTTTCTGACTCTACAAGGTGTACCTCCCCTTTTACCTCTCAAGTCCAGGAGAAACCAGGATTAAGGTTTCACAATATCAAACTACTCTGAACATGCAGAAACAGTGAGAGGTACGATCTCTGCCACTGGGACAGAGACTGATTTCTCTGATGCTCCAGAGTATACTAGAAAAATGAGATCAGTGTGAACTGGAAAAGTTAGGGGAGGTTTTGTGACACATATAAGAACCTGAGCTTAAAAGGTAGAAGAGATTTTTGGATGGGTATGAGAGAGCATGAAAATTCGAGAATTTGGGGTAGATGGGTTGTTGGGGGTGTTTATGTTTAGGGTGCATAAGGTTGTTTGAGAAGGGTGAGACAAGATGGAAACATTATTTATCCAGTCATCCTAAACTTTGATGTCCATCAGAATTACCTGGGGAGCTTTAAACACTCTTGATGCCTAAATTATACCCCATTCCAATTACATCAGAATGTCTGGGGGACCGGGCCAGGTATCAGTGGTTTTTAAAGATCCTCATGAGATTCCATTGTTTAGCGAGGTTTTTAAAGATTCCCATGTGGTCCCATTGTCTAGCAAGGTTTGGGAATAATTTTCCTACTTTGTTTCCTGCAAATATCTGAAGCTTTGCAGAAAGACCTATAAAAGAATAGGATAAAAAAGAAAATGAATTGGCTCAGCGTCTGTAGCTCAACTGGCTAAGGAACCAGCCATATACACCAAAGCTGGCAGGTTCGAATCCAGCCCAGACCTGCCAAACAACCATGACAACTACAACCAAAAAATAGCCGGGCATTGTGGCAGGCGCCTGTAGTCCCAGCTATTTGGGAGGCTGAGGCAAGAGAATCGCTTAAGCCCAGGAATTGGAGGTTGCTGTGAGCTGTGATACCACAGGGCAATGGCTTGAGGTTCTGCCTAAAAAAAAAAAAAAAAAAAAAGAAAGAAAGAAAAGAAAAGAAAATGAATTAGGAAGTAAGAAGGAAAGCATAATGATGAAAGAAAACAAGATGCAGCCAGGAAGTAAAGCCAGTTCACAAAATACATATTATGAGATACCGTGCAGTTGCTATAGTGAGCCAGAATTTTGACCTTGAGCTGTTTTTGTAGCTAAATCAAAAGGAAACTTGAACAGTTATGAAAGGCATGATAGCAGGCAAGTGATATGCCACAAGAAGCCCTGGGACTGAGAGCAGGAAGAAGTCTCTCCTGAGGCTCTTTATAAAGATGGCACCATCCGGGCTGTGGAAAGGGCTTCCAACAGTGTCCTAACAGTCACATGGGCCATTTGCTAAATTACCCCTTAATGTTGGCTCTGGAGGTCGTTCAAGGCCAGAATTAACAGCTCGGATCTAATGTAGCAAGAAAAGTTGATTGTACTTTTTAAATTCTTGATTTTTGTCTGTAGCTAATTAAAAAAACCCTCCTATTTGCCTGGCCTCCTGGCTCATCTTAATCTAATTAACCAGACTTGTTTGCCTGCAGATAGAATGTCTGCATTTTGTCTTTCTTGTGGTCATTTCTTATTCTCTTGGCAATCAGTTTGTCATTTCCTTCATTAGGCCAGGGACTCTGAGGGAAATATACATTGATTAAGGCACAAACCAGACGCTTTCGCTTGTCATTGCTGTGCCCATAGATCTCATTCACCTGCTTTGGCCTCCACTCTGAGGGTGGGCTTTCCACAGGGTCATCTGCCAGTGGGGTCTTGTCTGTGGACGTGGGGACCTGGGAGCAACTATTTCCTGCAGAAAGGGCCACTCTATCTCCAGCTTCCCTCCTACCCAGAGGCAGTTGGGAAATACCAATCCAGCCAGCCCATCTTTGCCTTGGAGCCAGTACTCAGGGTGCCTGGCTGCCCTAGCAGAGCCCGCTCTAACTGGCAAGTGGTCCCAAGTAGGCAATGGGTCAGGTCAGGATGGGGACCAACTTGGCAGAGAGCCATCAGGGTGGCCTTAGGGAGGTGTGTGGCTAGTGGGCCTGCCCAGGCAGGGCATTTTCCACACACCTGTTTGGCCCTGGGGTGTGTAGCAGCTAAGTGTGCTGGCTACTGGGACGAGGGACTCTGCAGCAGGGGGTGTAGGGGGTTCCTGGGCCGTGTGCTTCTCTCTGCTCTGCTCTGTCTCTTGGTATTTGAGTCTCAGGCTGTAAGTAAATTGGAACTGGGCTGCATGGTGATATTTGTGTGTGTTTGTGTGGCCTTAGGGGCTTGCTATGTGACTGCTGGCCTGTGTGTGTATTTGGGGCACACATACGTGGGATAGCCCCTCCGCAACGAGACTGCCCAGGTTTGAGCTGCTATGTACACACACGGTGGGCAGGAGTGTGTGCCCATGTGGGGTGCAGTGACCCAGCTATCTGTCAGGGCCCTGGGCCTGGGGACATGCGTGTGGGGTCTCTACCTTCGCTTTCTGTCCCTGGGGCTGTGGGCTCTCCAGCTTTGCCTCCTTGTGGTTTTCCAAGTGCCGTGTGCATATGTACATAAGTGGGGCAGGGTTGTGCTTATGACAGCTCGCTCTGTGGCTCTCACGGCCCACATCTATAGTGTTTATGTCTTTCTTCAGGGGGTTGCCTGGTCTGCCCAGCTGGCAGGGAGCTGGGTGACTCTGCATATATGGCTCTACTGTGCCTTGCTGGAGACCCTCAGACACATCCCTTTAATCCTGCTGTGTGAGCATGCTGCCAGGTGGCTGGTACGGGTTGGTGTGCAGGCCGGCAGAATTCTGATGCGGTTATGGGGTATGGCGAGCTTTGTCCAGCTGTGTGCCCACACAGTCTTTTTGGGCGTATACCTGTGTATGCACATCTGCTTTGCTGCCATCAGCTCAAAGGTCCGTGTGAGAGTACATGCGCCATTCTCTATCTCACTGCCCTTCAGGGTCCATGCCCCCCTGAACCTGGGCATCAAAGTGAGGCTGAGGGGCGAGAGGCAGGGGAGGACCCAGGGGGAGGTAGGTACATCACAGGGGGAGACTTTGGAGGAGCAGAAGCCCCAGACAGCTGGGAGCCCCAAGCCCACCAGGAGAAGGGAGGTATCATGGAGCAGGCGTGAGCTCAGTCCAGGTGGGTAAGTGGAGGGGGTACTCCGTGCCCCTTGGGCCCCTCCGTAGCCTGGGGTGCTAGTGCTTCCTTCCTGGCAGCCAGTCTAGGCTTGAATCTTGCTTCTCCTTCTGCACAGCTTGGATCAAGCTGTTGGGTGGCTTATCTCCTTGCCCACTGGATACTGGGCATCTCTTTCCCAGGCTGAGTGGTCTCTGGGCAAGTTGCCGGCAGAAGCGGATTCCAGTGCTTGCCCTCTGTCCTCTGAGGAGTAGGCTGTTTGTGACAGCACTGGGCCAGGAGCCTTTCTCTGGCAGTGCCACCTTTGCCTCCCTTTGCACATTTGCCTCCCTCTGTCTCTATGTCCCTTTGGCCCCTGCACTCTGCTCCCCTCCCCTCCAAGTCTCCTGCTTTCTCAGTGGGTCTGTTACTTTCACAGCTTCTCAGGATGTTCCCTGCTTCTGGGCCACGGTGGGCTTGCCCTCTCTTACTCTGGGACACCCTCTGCCCAGGCTGCCTCTTTCCCTGCCTCCTGCCCCATGTCTGAGTTCCCCCAAGTATGTCTGGTCATCTCTGCTCACCACCATGCTGTCCCCACAGTGGTCCCGAGTGCTGCGACCCTCATCATTGTGGTGTGTGTGGGTTTCCTGGTGCTCATGGTCATCCTGGGCCTTGTGCGCATCCACTCCCTTCACCGCCGCGTCTCAGGGGTCGGCGGGCCCCAGGGGACCTCCAGTGACCCCAAGGACCCAGACCTCTTCTGGGATGACTCAGCTCTTACCATCATTGTGAACCCCATGGAGGTGAGTGGCTCTGGAAGATGGGGAGGTCTAGAGGGTCAAGAATAAGCTGGACTATGCACAGCAAAGACCCCTAAGGAGGGGCTGGGCCCTGGGTGAAGGCTGTGAGCAGAGATACAGCAGGTGGGAGGTGGGGAGGAGGGTAAGGGGACTGAGGGATGTGTGTGCAGGCCGTTGAACCATCTCCTCTCTGTCCTGGACCTCTAGTCCTACCAGAATCGGCAGGCCAGTGTGGTGAGGGCTGCCGGTGGGCAGCAGGAGGACGAGGACAGCAGTGACTCCGAGGCAGCTGACTCCCCCAGCAGTGATGAGAGGCGCATCATCGAGACGCCCCCACACCGCTACTAAAGCCTACACCTCCCCCATACAGAGGAAAAAGTCTGCCTTCGTGAGACAGAGACATCCCAGAAAAGAGAGAAGGACATTCTGAGAGAAGAAAGACCCAGAGGGAGAGAGCACTTCACAAGTCATCCTTGTATCTCAAAACCCCAGCAGGCCCCACTGGAGTCTGCCCCACATCATGCCATCCAGCCACCGCCCTCACCTCTGGGCTGCCATAGCCTTGCTGTTTTCCTGGTCACCACTGGGCTGGAAAGTGGGCTGGGCAACTCTGGCTGCCCTTTTTGCCCCCCCATGGCAGCTGCCTACTTAGCACGCACCCTTAGGGGCATCAGTAGCAATGGCTAGGGTGGGGTGGGATGGAGGGAAAACCTCTACTCTCCCCTTTCCCACTCTTTACCCCACCTTGGCTGGGCTCTCCCTGCTTCTCTTGTGATTCCCCCACCTGTTTCCATTTCACTCTGGGGATCCCTGCTTCTCTACCTTTCCCAGTTTCCTTCTTTCCTGTCTTATTTCACCTCCTGCCCTTGCAGTCCTGAGGTCCTACACCCCTACCCCTTCCCCCAGGACCTGGTATGGCCAGGTTGTGGGAATGGGAAGGGGTGTGGGTGCTCCAGGTGTATTATATATAATGTATATTTTTTCAATGTTGTCGTGAGCGCAGCCCCTGTGTTCCTGTGTGCAGCTCACGGCCTTGTGTGTGTGTGTGTGGCATCGTCATGTCCTGGGGCAGGGGTGGGGGGATGGATGCAGTGAGGGACGGGATACATCCTAAAGTTTTCAAATAAAACAACTGGAAAAAAAGCTTTCTGCTCGCCTGGTCCTATGTGGGCTCAGCCGAAGGTTTCCAGTCCTCTGGGGCCCTCTGTCTTTGTGCAGGGCTGAGGGGATTAGACAGGGCTGATTGTCCAGGCCCCTCACTGGGTAAATCCCTAGGATGCCAGGTCACAGGGAAAGTAAGTTGCAGGCAGATGGTTCCCAGTCCTTCCCTCAGCACCCCCTAGAAAAGTATAGATGACTCAGGCAATGAAACAGGTACCTGGGTAGATGCCCAGTGCTTTTGAGGATCCCAACAGCCCCTCTGCATCTCTTGAACCTTCCTCCTGCCCATACAGACTCCCAGCCAGGAGTCTAGAGTGAAAAGCCAGGCAGCCCTGCTGTCTGCACCAAAGGGATCTGGAGACTGTTTCAAGGCTGAGCCTTTGTTGCTAACTGGTCCTCAGGCCCTGGGCACCACTGCTTTGCCCATGTCCACATGCTCCCCTCACCCAGCTGCTGAGTGGCCTCCTTCTTTTTCATGCTGACCCAGCAGCTTGGCCTGAGAGCAGGCAGATTCTTGCCTTTCTTTGGCTTTTTGGGCCACAGGTTCTCTGGGCCAGGGCTTCCTTAAGCTGTAGGTGGTAAAGGACAGTACCCAGATTGGTTATTTCAAAAGTGTGAGCTGCTGGTGGGAGCATCCCTCCTGTGATATCCTTGGCCCAGGGAATCAGGGACCTGAGTTCTAGCTCCTTTCTGTGGAATGAGGGGGTTAGGGACCCATGAGGCTGTTCCATTTTTTTCTGTTGCCTGTAGTGCAGCTGAGATGGAAATGGGAAAGCTCTACCTGACACCCATTCCTACCTCCTCCCTGTGGTTTCAGCTTCTAGCCGTGCAGTGATGGCATTGCATTTGTGGCTCCCACCCATATCCCTCTCCTAGGCTGGATTTGCAACTACCTATTGGTCTCTCCATTGCTCATCCTATGCCCAGAATTCTGTTACCTCTCCCTGTTACCTTTCAGCCAGCCACTTAAGCCAGGAACCTGGGAGTTAGTCAAGATTCCTCCCTAGAGTAAATCAACCCATGTCCAAATGGTGACAACTGACCCTGTCATTCCTACCATTTAAAATCCCTCAAATGAGTCTTTGTTTTTCTTGTCCCCCTACTGCTATGCCACCACCTTGATCCTGTGCTTCATTTTCACCTGGTCTATGACAAGAGCCTCCTACATCTTCCTCCCTGCCCTTGTCTCCAGTGTCTTGCTCCACTCCAGCCCATCCTCAACTCTAGGACTCAGTGACCTTTCTAAAGCACCACTCTGCTTGTGCCACTCTCCCCTTTAGGACCTTCTCTACCTCCCTACAGTGCCTGGTTTACATACCTTGGAAAGCCCCTTAACCCAGTCCTGCCTCCCTCCTTTTCTGGGCTCCTTGTGTCCCATCATCCCAGCTGTGCTTCCCAAATCTACCCTGTTCTTTCTTGCCTTTGTGTCTGCATGTACTGTTCCCTCTGCCTCGCATGTCCTTTCCCCGTTGTGTACCCGACAATTTTCCAGTGGTCACTGAAGACCCAATTCAAGTGTTACCTCTTTCATGCTCTGCCACACTTTGCTCATGTCTCTGTCCCAGCACTTAGGTCCAGGCTGCCATATGTCTCTGTCTTACCACAGAGCCTCTGTATTTCTAGCAACTCACATTGAGCATGGCACACAGTAGGGGTTCAGTAAGTGATGAATGGGGTGATGCCTACAACTCTCAGAGAAAATTTACTGGGAGGAGGAGATAGGAGAACTGCATTGGTGGCCCAGTAGAAGGGAGGTTTGAGGACAGAGGGTGGCCGAGCAGAGACCCTGTAGCAGCCTCTCTGTGAATGGTCTGCCTACATGACAAGGTGATGTTCCAGGGTTTGTGGCAATACTCTGTAGGAGGCAGCCCTGTCTGTTCATCCTGGAATCTCTCAAAGTCTAAGTGAGGGTTCCAGAGGTCAGAGGCTTCAGACATCTGAGAGCTTTATCTCTCAAAGGGACTTGAGGGAAAGATTTTGGTTTGTGGTCCTGAATTTCAGTGGGTTCAGTCCCTCTTGTCATCCTCCTAGTCCTCCCTCAGCCCCTGGTCTCAGAGACCATAGGTTCCCACGCAGAGGAGCAGAAGCCAAGTGCGTTCCATCATTTTCCATCATGTCTATGTTTGCCCTTGGAGCCTCCTACATTCTCACTGAGACTTGGGCATCTTTAGTCACCTCCTGTTCAAGCTTCAGGGGTAGGGTGTAGGTGGGTGAGAAGGTAAGCCCATGTGAACTCTGCCCCCTCTCTTGATGGACACACACCTGCAGGGTGCCAAAAGGCAACATATCTGCCCAACCTTGGCTCAACTTTTGGCCTTCCCAGATCAGCCATCTCTAGGGCCAAATATATATATATTTTTCCTGAAATACACACGTTCTCCCTGAGTTTCCTGGAAACTCTCTAGGATCAGAGTTACTGACCACTGATTTCTTACGGGTTTAACCTTTCTTACCTACCTTTCCACCTTCAATGATCAATACTCCAGCTCCTAGCCCTTGGTTAACAGTTGGGGATCGAGATGTCCTGGTGGAGTGTGGTACAGGTGGGAGCCTGGAGAATACGTTGAACTCCTTATGCCACTCATCCTCCAAACTTCCACTTTCACTTACTGACTCCCCCTCCCACTCTCAATCTCTGTCTCTTTCTCTCTCTCAGACACACACACACACTGGAAATAGGAATCAGGTGCAAGGCAGGATGCCAGCATGATGTTGCAGGGAAAGGGCAGCAGGCAGGAGTCCAGATGAGCTTTTATTTCATTGCTCAAGATTTTGTGGAAAGATGTTTCCTAACCTCCCTTACAGGAGCTGGCAAAGCTTCAGAATATCAGGCCTTTTGGGCAGGGTTTCCAATCCACCTATTCCTGATTTAATTAAAAATAGCAAACACATTTCCCTGGGCCTCACTCAAATCTTTCCTTCTGTAATGGAAGGCTGTTTTCCTCTTAGGTCCACTCTCTGAAATGAAAATTAATTAGCTTGTCAAAAGACATGATGGAAAGCTACAATGTCCTTGGGGAAAAGTGGTGTTGTAGGGGGCAGATACACTAAGCACCAGTTCTAGAACAGAGCAGTCCTTCTTTTTTGTACCAGGCACAGAAAACTTGCCTGTGTGCTGTCAGGGCAGGTGGACACAAACATAGTGGTGGTGTGCAAGCATGTGGCTCTTCAGCCTAAGTCTGAATTCCACCCTGCAGCCTTTGGGCTGATGCACCTTCATTGACAACTCTGAGATCTCCACCTGCCAGAGCCAACGTTGGGGGCTTTGTTGGAGGACAAAGGACACATCTGCTCCCAGCCTTCTAGGCACCATGGAAGAGCTCAAGTTCCCTTTAGATTCTAGGTTCATATTGCAGACTTCCAAAGTAGGTCTTTTATATCTGCCAGACCTGTAACAACTCAGCGCTCTTCTGGACTGTGAGTTGGTGGGTGCAGCTGTCAAACACTCTGGGGTGTTTCCTGGGGATGTCCACCAGCATGAGCTGAGGGTGAGTGTGTGTCCATTAGGTTCCTCTGTGCACTGTGGATTTGGGTTTCCCAAACTCCACCTCCCAGGGAACTTTGTCCTCACCCAGCATCCTGCAAAGACTTTCAGTGTGCTCCCTCTGACAGCCAACCTCCCGGGAGACAGGAAGAATAGGAGGAAGGTGGAAAGAGAAGGTTGAGCCCCAGGCAGGTGGGGCGTCTGACAGACAGGAGGAGGAGCTGGCATCTACCTCCGCCATGCTGCCTCTCCTGTGGCACCATGCTGCTGAGCACTTAAAATACCCACATCCTACAGGAAGAGGACAGATGAGGGTCTAAATTTAGCGACTGTGGGTAGGAGGAGGGAGGACAAGGACTCTGGGATGCGGTGGAGCTGGCTTTGTCAGGAAAGGAGGAGAAATGGTATTTCCTAGGTGGGGACCTGACCCTTGAGGGTAAGGGAGCCTCTGCTCCTAGACTCAGTCTCCAAGACCTGACCTCAGTTTCTGAAGTTCTCACCCCAACTCGGTCTCTCTCCCCATCAGATGTGGCATTTCTCCTTAAACACTTGCAGTTTGGGATTGTGTCACCCTTTCTCCTTTGGGTGCCATGTGGCTGGCTCTGGGGGAAGAGGCCATTAACAGGAGTAAAAGTGATATTTGAAAAGACCTTTGGTTTTTAATTATGTCACCTGAAAGAAAGTAGTCTTCCTTCCTTGGCACAACAGAGAGGGAAAATAAGTCCCATAGGCGTGAAGCAGTGACAAGAGGCCAACACATCTTCCAGATGACAACTGGGAAAAGGCCCAGAGTCCCAGCCCTGGGGTGGACATGAGCAGCTCATGCTGCCTTCCCCCTGGAAGTGTCACAGCCCCTCACAGACCACTGTGCCAGTGGCCCTCTCCTCAGGGACTTGATCTTGCAATGCCATTTTGTTGCTTTGAGGAAAGCCCAGAGTGCAGAGGGGTGGGGTTGGAGAACATGGACTTTGCAGTCAGTGCTGCCTGTGTTCAAATCTGATGCTTACTCTGGCTGTTTTTATCATGGTCAGACTTGGGCTTGAGGAACAGGGACAGGGGTATTTTCTTAATAGATGAGGGCTTTAAACAGGAGCTGCTAGGGTCTTAGTAAACAAGATCTCACAGGCTTTTGGGCGCCAACTTTGGTGGATGGCCTTGAGCTACATGGGCAGAGGTGACCTAGTATTGCACTCAAGGCAAAGATAGAGATTACTTCATCATATAGATGCAGTTTTTTTTTTTTTTTTTTTGGTCTCATGTCAAAATGAGCAGAATCTCAAATATAAAAGCTTTATTTATTTATTTATATTTTTATTTCAGGTTAACATGAAGGTACCAACAACTAGGTTATAATGCTTAGATTTGTTAGGTAGAGTCCCTCTTTGTGTCCCATAT